CGCTTTTGTAATTCCACTAGTTTCAAAGTTTTCTTGGTTAATAGAGGTAATCAATTGTTAGATATGTAGCTTTAAGTATAAATTAAAACTGTTACCAACGACGTCGTCCGCGTCCCGTCGGGTCGTTCTTGCGAGTTAATCTTAAAAGATGGACATATACAACCCCGGACATATTTTAGATCATTTAAATGAAAATCATTCTTTCAATATAGTTTTTTGGTTTCTTGAATCGTTTTCGCAGCGCGCGCAACGCAACACGCAACGGAAGATGATCAATGTTTCCCGTTTTTCAACATGTCCCCTCGTGTCATCCTTTACTCCTTTAAATAAAACATTTTTACGGTTTAAAACGCGATATATAGTGGTTAAACTTATTAGGAAATTATTTTAACTACAGACCGACGTTTCTAAACATATCGCGTTTTAAACCCTTAAAGTGTATTATTTAACTACTACTCACGTAAACTGCAGACAGTATTTAGTGGATATCATTCGTATCATATGTAATTTGTCAAGGGAGCCTTTCACAATACCACAAAAGACCAGTTGCTTAACAACTGGACTGCGTCGGCGCATTTGCGTGACCGATTCATTAGCATATGGACAGCATACATATATGTAAAAAGGGTAACAGCGAGAACAAGTTTTTATATGCGGGCTTTAGTGGGCGATTTTAAAAAATTATGTGCGCCAAGTCACGTAACACACTTTTAATGTACATATTATATATAAATTTATCGATTTTTAAATTATGTATAAAGGGCTAATATTATACGAAATGGTTATTTTTTGGTTGAAATTATTCTACACAATTATTTTTATTGCATCGAGCGTTAATACGACCACAAGGAAACTTTTCATGAAAAAAATGTCTACTGAACCATCGACTATAGTTCTTTATTCTTATTTCAAAAATAAAATGAAAAACATAACTACGTGGTTTAACATTACAAAACAATTGACTAAGGTTCCTAGATGTTCTAGCATTACGTTAAGGAAAAATAATTCTACAAATAGGTAGTTGTTTTATAAAAACTTCATATAATATTACAGGTTTTAAGATTATACAAATTTATACCATAGGTATTAGAAGTGCTAACACTTCACAGCTTTAATGTAGCGGGGGACGACGAATTATTATTACTTTCTAATGGGGACACCGATAGAAGGCCGGGTGGGTGTCCACGCCATTTGCCAACCACTATTTCCCCATTCTCCCGGGGAAGACGTGAAATAAATCTACAAATATATTTCGTGTTTTAAACCGTTCAAAACCGACAAACCGATAATACTTTGAGAAGAATATATGCTTAGAGAACTGATAATAAATACAAAGCAAAGTTCCTTATTACAAATTTCTCGTTCTCTTCAAAGATGTGATATAATAGCGTTTTAGATGCAATATTTGGTTACAATTTAGTCACAGTATTTTAAATTCGTTAAATTGTGGGGAAAGAACATGTTAACGTAAAAATATATAGTAAGTGTTATCGGCGCAAGATATGAATGAAAGTAACTTGTCGTTTGAACAAAGCTGTTTAAACATTTAACACAGGTGGTTTTAATGGAACACAAAAACATTGACGTACAACAATCGGCTTCGCAGTCCATAAATAGATGAAAATATTAAAAACAATATTTAGGGCATGCATACAATTTGGTTTCATGTTTTTTTTAAATATTTAAATGACGAATTGTGATTACAATATAGTTTCAGAGAGCATTATGCAAAATTTCACAACTTCAATTTAAACGCGATATTTACAATCGTTAAGATATGTTACATGTCTAAAAGTACCTTTGGTTTTAATGTTATTCATTTAAATAAAACACTTTAACGGTTTAAAACGCGAAATATTAGTTAAAGTTATTTGGAAATGATTTTTAATTTTGGCCCGACGTGCGGATGCTTTGCAGCAGCCGTTGTCACGGGGAGACTAAAGATGGAGGATGAGACATCCTCCATCTTTAGTGACGTCAAAGTAAAAAATTGCTACGCTAGCGTTCCGTATATGTTAATCATTTATAAATTTCATAAGACTTGACTATTTTAAAATGTTTTTCGGTCTTTTTCACTTTCACTTGGCGGTATTTCTAATACCCTGTCCACTGTTGACCTATTTTGGTTTGTTAAACCGAAACGCTATTGAACTTCACGGCTTTTTCGTCTGCGCACGGTGGTTCGCTGTTCAGTCTCGTCGTATTATTGGTTATTTGTAAATAAAACACTAAGAGATACATTAAATAACAATAAACGAAATGGTAATTTTATTTTTTACATCTCATAACTACTAAGTCGACTGAACTTAAATAAAAAAAGGGAAACAAGTGTCGTTTAAAAAATAAATACATATATAGTGGGTCTTAATTACAGCTTTCAGATATCTATCGACAAAACTTATTATTAAGTACTGCGTGCTTGACACGGAAGTTTGAAACAATACTATGAGTTAATGGGTGTTAGCGGAAATATATTAGGAAGTTAGTCTAACCACTAACCGCAGTCAATTAGCTTTGATCACGACATACGTTGTTATATGCCAGAGCTATACACAAACACAAACATACAATGACCGTACTATATATGAAGCTCGATCTAGTCTGGCCAAACCCTGGGATATAGATATTAATAGAAATAATCAGACTAGGTTACTTTAAAAAGAAGGAAATTACCGTTTGTAGTTAACGAGAGTAATCCACATTTAATAAAATACTGTTTTGGTATGTTATATATGTTTTAGACCGTTGAAAGGTGGGGGTTGCGTTTATTTCGAAATATCGTCTGCGATTGACGAGATTAGCAATAAATAAAACTACATAAAAATTCGATGGATTCAAACGTGAAATTAACTACAATTAATGTTTGATAGTAGGAGGTGCGTATTTGCGTATATGAACCGTTAAAACGTGTTTTATTTCAGAGCAAAGATTTAGCTACTTCGTACTATCATTAGAAGGATTAGAAGGATTAAGTAAAAATTCCACTCTGACTTCGAAACCTCATCTATATCTATACAAATATATAAAGCTGAAGAGTTTGTTTGTTTGTTTGTTGTTGAAACTACGAGTTCGAATTAAAAAATCGCGCTGTGACTAATAGTAGCGAAGATACAGCGGGAAATGTGAACAAAACGGGGGAAATGTTTCATCTCTGTGGGTTTCAGATGCGTACGCTGCGAAAACGGTTCAATATACTTTAAGAATGTTTAAAAAGAATGATTCCTCTTTAAATGATCTATAAAAAAAGTCCGCGACGCTATATTATGTCTATGTTTTAAGATTAACTTGCAAGGACGACAGGAAGGGACGCAATCAACGTTGGGGCTAACAGCTTAAGGTTATAAAGATGCCTAAAATAACGATTCTTGCGGACACAGCTAGATAAGCGGTCAAATTTGCAAGATATTTTAGTAAAATAGTATTCTATATTTAGTTTTCATGCTTAGGGACACACAATGCAACTTAAACGCTGATTCAGTTAACTAACTGCATATGAGGCCAAAGCTATTGTTCGGTATTATGCATTGTTATATGAGTCTAAGAATTGCATTTCTTGAAATTGCAAAACTTGAAACCTTTGCTGACTTGATTGCTTATTTGATCCCTGATTATTTCTGAAGTCTTTGCTGTGACTAAGAATTTATTCTTAAAACTGTGATCTTTTATTGTGAAAACCGCAAAGCCATCGCGTTAATAAATTATAAAATCTTAACTTGTTTACCTGTAGGCCTTTGATCAAATTTGTATGAGTTGATCGATAACCGTAAATAAATATAAGTTTTGTATCTATCTTGCTCATGTCAAGCAAATTAGAATACTCTAGATGTCTATATCCCATGGTATGAACTGAATCTATCGATTGCAGCATCGAAAAAATATGTGAAATATGCTTATCGTAATTGGTGTTTCTGATTTAAATTTACAATTACCTTAGTCTTGAATTACTGAGGTCAGTTGTCATGTGACGATCATTTTGCTTTTTTCTAGAAGGTATTATTTCGCTCGGTCTACTTCTGTAGCTATTAAATCATCGTTGTAGTTAGTACACTTAATTATAGATCACTGGATTCAGGATTCCAATCTCAGCTAGGATTGGGTGTTTGATATTTGTGGTACAAACTAACTTTTTCACATTCGTCGAATATCCAGTGTTACTTGTTGCCTCTTTGTACAACTGTTTAACTATACTGTAAAGCTCTTCCTATGATTAGCTGTGGAAATAATAAAAAAAGTAAAAGTGTACTTTTATGTATTACTAGATATGGATTTCCAGACATTTATGTATTGTGTAGCATACTGGCGTCCTTTAGGTCTTTTTATAGGTCCGGTGGTTTTCCATAGTTCAAAAGGTTTCAAACTGTTAAGCTATTTAACTTAAAACCTATATATTTTATTTCATTTACAAATATTTCAGCTTCCTCTTTAAGAGCCCAAAACATACATTAAAGATAGCAATTATAAATAATAGTTTCATACTTTCTTTCCTTGTATAAACGAGAACACATGCTCTATGCACTGAAGGCCTATTACGCTGATGGTTAATATTAAATAAGGAATATAAGCTCTACAGTCATTACGTACGGTGTTTATTCATTCATAAAGATGCTGTGGTTTCCTATTTTGTCTATCCTTTTGCAGTGGATAATCGTATACATTTAGATCACTTAGTAAAAAAAAAGCTATCTTTATGGCCCTTTGCTTCAGCAATAAATTTAAAATGTTCCTTTAACCCTCAATTATGGCGTGCAGGTAATATCTTTATATTTGCTCTTAAACTATTTTTTGGATTAAATTAAAAATTACGACACAGGTAGCAACCAACATCCACAGTTTTCGTGTTGTTTCTTAAACAATTGAATTAGTTATCGTCGATTTTTTTCAATCTATTGATACATGCACGCTTTCATAATTTTTTTTTCATTTTATAATCGATTTTTAATTTATAACAGCGCAATCATGTACAATAATTAAATATTTAAAGTTATTTTTTTACTTTCTAGGAATCGCTGGCGGAATGGGAACGCGGTCTAGATATGCCCCCAGATCCAGCGGCTGGGGCGACAGGGCGAAAATGGAGCATGCGCAGTGCGCAAGCGCAGAAGACGGCCACAGACGAGACTGTCGCCTCAAGCAATGCGACGGACGCCTGCAAGCTCATAATTGTTAGTATGAATTGGTTTACCTTAATTTATCATTTATTTTAATCGGGGAATTTTACAGATAATACATAAAATAGAATCTCATTCTTTATTCATTTATTAAATAATGAAAAACCAATGAAATTTTTGTAAGAAAAAAAAAAAAGTGCGGTTGTTTTATTAATATATTTTTTTTAGCAAATAATAAAAAAAGCAGCATTAAATTTGTTTTATTATGTTTGGTTAGAGCATATATCGAGACAGGCTTATTGTCTATAAACACTATACTATAAAACATCGCCTGTGATTGAAGATACAGTATGTTGTATCATTGAGATAAATTAGTTAATTGTTCGTGTCTTAAATACTGTCTATAGTTTACGCGAGTAGTACACATTTAAATAAAACACTTTAACGGTTTAAAATGCGATATATCCCCGTGACCACGGCTGCTGCAAAGCTTCCGAAGCGTCGGGCCGAAGTTAAAAATCATTTCCAACTAAGTTTAACTAATATGTCGCGTTTTAAACCGTTAAAGTGTTTTATTTAAATGTTCTTGTTTCTATTGTTCTATTTAACAATTTATGGACATGAACATTAACGTATTCTTTATTAATTACCATTATACGATGTCGCTTAGTAACTGTATTTGAAAGTAATGATCAAAACCCAATAAACCAAGTCAAATTCTTTGACAGTAACAAAGATGACATTTCCATGGTTGTCAGATGAAAGCAAGTGTCTTAATTAATTGAGTTTCATGAACGAAAGGTTAATTGATGTTAACGTCCGCAATTGATCGACCTTCCAGATCTTTCTGTGCTAACTTGTAAACAATGTAATTTATTATTTAACATATAATTGACATCTTATCAGTATCCTTGGGGCTGGTTCTCTATGTTGTTAGCGTTTTTTGTGGAATTGCGTTAAACGCGAGAAGCGTTAGAATCCCAAGCAATTTTAGTTTCGATCAAACGAGGCAAAGAAAACAGTAAAGTGTTTCACGTAATGCGACCACACCGGATTAAATTGTACTTCACAGAATTTTTTACTCGTCAAATCGGCAACTTGAAATAACTGTATATCTCATTCGCAATATAAAAATATAGTAGGCATATTTGAAACCTAACACAAGAGATAGAAATACATATAGTTATAAAAAGTACTGTGGCCGCGATTTCGCGTAGAATAGTGTTATACATAGTTTTTTGGTTTCTTGATGCGATTTCGCTGTGCCCGCGACAGAGATTTTGTGCCGTCAAAGATGAACGATCTTCCATGTTTTTTCCACATTTCCCCCTGTTCGTTCGCTCTATTGGTCGCAGGCTGATGTTTATTGCCTTTATATGTCTCTATTAACACAAAAAGAAATTTTCAATTCGCACCAGTTGTTCCTGAGATTAGCGCGCTCAAACAAACAAACGAACAAACTTTTCAGCTATGTATATATCTAATGTGATTTAAGGGGATTTTATTAAATAAATTTATTTCTTTTTTTATGATAAAATAAAAAATACATACAATCCTCAATTTCACCTTTAGATCTATTTTTAATAACATTTTAGAAACTTTGCCGGCTCTGTATTAATATGATATGATATTAAAAAACGTTAGCTTAAAAGAAGCTTAGTAAACTATGTTTTTTGTGGTAAGTATTAGTTATTTGATTAATTACTTACGGGTTGGGTTTATAAAAAAAAAAAAAAAAATATATATATATATATATGTATTTTACTATTTATTTAATTTTAATTGCTTTTGTTAAGATTATGTATCTAAAAAAAGTCCACGACGCTATATAATTATCTATCTTTTAAGATTAACTTGTCACAACGACGGGAAGGGACGCTACCGACGCCGTGGGTTTGCTTAAATTTATAAAGATAAGGGGTTCAAAAACGAATTTGGATGCCCAAAATTATTTTTAGCGGACGTAGTCGCTAGTTTAGGAAATGAGAAAATAATACTATCAGCTTCTCTTCTTGAATCACCAAATACAGCACCGCTCCTAACAAACTATCTCTCATTCCAGTACATCGAACAAAAGCCGATTTGGAAGTTGTCGTTGTGTGGCGGGAATGCGGCCTCCGTAGCAGCCAGGGCGGGCACCAAGCTGCTGCCACCAAAGATAAGGATTGTATGGAACCCGCCTACCACGCCCTACCAACATACGGAGAAGCTACGGCTGGTGGTCACCGCAGTTAACAGTGGTAAGTAGAGGCTGCCCTGATGTGAAGTGGGGGGTGAGGAAATTGGTATATCACTGATCGAATTTATGTTTACTTTTGACGGGGTCGTTTGTGCTATGGTAGCGGTGAGTTTCCAAAATTTGTATAATCAATTTATAATTTTTTATAACCTACTGTGTATAGTTTACGCGAGTAGTACACATTTAAATAAAACACGTTAACGGTTTAAAACGCGATATATTAGTTAAACTTATTTGAAAATGATTTTTAACTTCGGCCCGACGTTTCGGATGCTTTGCAGCAGCCGAGGTCACGGGGAGACACGGGTCTAAAAATCATTTTCAAATAAGTTTAACTAATACATCGCGTTTTAAACCGTTAAAGTGTTTTATTAAAATTTTCATAACCTTCTTGTACATCATCTGGAAATCTGGATATTAAATGGATATTCCTTCCGGGTCACGAACCATCGTCCACATATCAAAAAGCTGCCAATTTTATCGCGTTTCCATTTTTCCGAAGATTTCCGAATTTCCTAAGCCAAATTTGGTTGACAACGCATCTTGCTCATATAAAAAGCCGTTAAACCTAATCCCGTTTCGGTTTTAAGCTGTGGATTTTCATAGCTACAATAGGTCGACAGTACATTTTGCTTATACGTCACATGGTTAAGGTATTGCACCTTCCATCAAGTGCAACGTATGCTTGTCTCATTAAAATAAGTATATTTTTCTAACTCCTGTAAGAGCTAAAAGACGTTCTGGTAATCCATAATAGTACTCATCATGAACATTTTCCAGGTGTCGTATGCAACAATGATTCCCAGTTCACATGTGGCACGACGAGCCTCTGTATATCGTCGTACTTGGTGTGCGACGGTGTCCGACACTGCCCGGGGGGTGAAGACGAGGACTCCAGCGCGTGCTCTCACCGCAAAGACTCTCCATTGCTGGAGATGTTGAGGAGATTCGCTGCTAGGAACCAGGAATTCCTGGGGTTGGATCAGCCGGATGGGATGACTAAGCCATCAGTTATAAGTAAGAATTTTATTATATGAATATTTTTTTTAATTACTACGAATGGCAATTAGTTGAATAAAAAAAAGAAAAAATAGGTACCATCAGTTATTTGTAATAAGTAACTTTTAAATTCTTATTCTCTTAAACAGTACCGTAAAGATCTGTTGTTTGTGTTTTAATTCAATAAAACACTTTTAACGGTTTAAAACGTGAAATGCATAACTTCGGCTTATTTACTTCTATGTAGGACTGGAGCTTTGGATGACTTCGGCAACTCGCAAACTAGAGACAGTTGTGTTCCAGAATGTGTTAAAATTAATGAAATAACATTTTGTGTATTGATTTTTAAACCGTTAAAAGTGTTTTATTTAAAAAAGTATTACACCCATAAACTACAATAAGTACTTAATGTAACTAGTGGAAATTAAATTAATATATATCTCTTGCGTTCTAAACCGTTAAAAGTCGAAATCTTATTATTCAAATAAAACCTTATTTACTGTAACAATTGAATTTCCAGTGAAAATAAGTGAAAGCGAGCAAAAATCGAACGCACTCACCGAGTTCGCAGACGCGCTGAGACCTTACGCTCCTTGGAGCTACCTGGTCGTTGGGATGATGGTCTGCGCAGCTATACTCATGTTCTGCCTTGCTTGGGGTAAGTCCCTATATTTTGATAGATCCAAAGTAAACTTTACTTACCTGTATTATAATAGAGAAGGACATAATATAAGCATGCAGCTTCACTTGATATTCGGAAATCCTCACACTGAAACCGCAACGCCTCTGACATTGCTAATATTACATTGGATTTTTCGAGAGGGTCCTTGGTTGGAGAGCACCACTCGTATATAAAGTATATCCTAAGTCAAAGTAGTCGACAACGCATCGTGTTGAAATGTTATATGGCTTGAATATTTTATCTTCCATCAATTGAGCATGGGGCTTGTCTGTCCTCTTCTATAAAAAAAAACAATTTCTTTACCGAAGAACGAACTCCTTAAACCAACGCCGGAGCATGATAGAAATTTTGACTAATTATATATTTCTTTGTTCCAGAGTGCTGCTGTAAACGTTCCAAGCCCTCCGCCACCCCGCTCCATATACCGCCATCTTGCAGAGATCTTTCCCCAACGGTCGCAGTGACTGCGTCGTCACAAATGTTCACAAACCCCCTCCCATCATCTCCCCCGGAATACGAGCCTCCACCCTCCTACTCCTCGTTATTCCCCCGTGCGTACAAGTCATCACCGTCGCCCGTCCCACACTGCTCTCACCAGGAGCCAGAATAAATAGATCACGCCAAATTATAGATAGGACGCGTGTACTCCGTGGTTAGGAAATATTAAATGACTGGTAATCATTTGTGAGGTTGAAAGCGAAAATCTTTTAGTTTAACTGTGGACTTCTCTTAATGGCTCTGCAATCTATGACTACCCATTTGTGCCTTGTTAATAACAAATGATTAAAGGAAAACACTATAAGTGAGCTATCTACCGCTTTATATGCGTATAACTTATAATTTTATCTACGTTTTGGATTATTTTATTGTCATTTGTAATGACTTATGGATTCAAATAACCTAGTTTTACAATTCTCCAGAAAGATTTTCGCTTACAAAATCAAAGCGAATGAGAATCGTGCAAAGTTTTAATCATTCCGAAAAGTTTGAACCATTTCATATCAAAAATAAATTATAATAGTAAAGTTGAATTCAACGCCATCTCTCGTTGGCGAGGATAATGTAACTGTTGTGTTAAACTGGTTATAACTAGATTGACATGTCCGTTGCCTTGGTAACCGTTATAACAACTAAACTGACAAAACAAAATGGCTAATAGTAATTATTATATTTTAAAGAAATTGATAATGTTTAACAAAATTTAAAACACAAAAACCTAACCACGACGAGAAGCTGGACCTCGTTTGTACTGTATTATCTTTTGTAAATAGTTTTAGTTATTCAATTTAAAATTGAGCCATACTCAGAGACGAATATTTAATATTTTGAGAGACGAGACCACTAGGTTTTATATGAAGTAATAATAACTCAGCCTACGAGCGAAGCAAAAAAATAATTAAAAAACAAAAACAGCATACAGATTATAAACTCATTCAAGAAATGCATTTGCGTTATATGCTCAATTGTATAAAATATATTTTGACAGAGATAAATAAAATAAAACACAAGCTGTACGTGAATTAACGGAGTATAATTTTGTCTCCGAGTGTGGCGATATTTCGTTAACTATATCGAAGTATATCGGAATGAGGCGCTTTCTACGCATTTTTTTTTTGTTGAAAGATGGTTTTTTAATCTTGTCATTTTATTGTTAATCAGCGCCATCTAGCGGTGTTAATAGAAATCGGCTCATTGCGTAACTAGGTAGGTAGGGATGTAATTTTGAAATTATTTCGACCATTCATTAATCCGTTTCGTAAACGCCATAATCTTAAGTACAATAACGTTTGGGACCAAATAGTTCTTAATTATTGTTAAGCTCTGACTTGAATTATGAAAATATATGTAACGTATATACAGTATTGACTATATAGACGTATTTCAAGGGTAAAGAACATAATTATTATAAACTGAAAAAAAATACAGTTTCATTAAGTATAGAAAATCCCCTATGACATGATCACTTAATTTGAAATAGTTTTTCAACTATCAATGACTTATTATTCACAATACACTTGAGTTTTACTGTATTGTTCTTTAAAAACTTTATAATTCGGACTTTTTTAATATTGTATAAAAATTGGCAACTATTTTGAAGGTAGTTTTGTATTACTCTTAGTTATCTTAAATAAAACAATTTATGCCGAGAATGTTCTAACATTGGTAAGCAATTTAAAATGTTATATTAAAAGCTGAGTAACAGAAATTAGTTAAATACAGCCAGACTTAGTACATTATTTTTAACTGTTTTTTTTAAATGAAGACAGACAATATACCCGGGCTATTATACTTTCAGTATCCGACAATCCGAAAGACGATTAAACATGTTTTTTCAATCCACAGCTCGTGGCCAACTGTTCTTGTCGGCAATCATGTTAGAAACTTTTATACTGTCTATCGTTTACGCGAATAGTACACATTTAAATAAAACACTTTAACGGTTTAAAACACGATGTATATTAGTTAAACTTATTTGAAAATTATTTTTAACTAATATATATCGAGTTTTAAACCGTTAAAGTGTTTTATTTAAACATGTTAGAAACCCATCAAGCCATATTCTGTTAAATCTATTGTCACCTGTATATATATAAATCCGTGATTTTTAATATTTGTATTTATTTATTATTTGTTCAACTGATATTCCGAAAAAAAGCGTCCTCCATTGTAATATAACTAGTCTTTAGAATCTTTGTTGTAATTGTAGAACATCGGTTCTTAACCTATCCTAGATAAGTTAATTTAAGTTACTGTAATTTCCTGAAATTCATGAAAAAGTGATACGTTTTCAATAAGAGATGAAATAAATGTATTTTGAAATTACCGCCTCTTTAATTTATTTGGTTACCTACTTTGTTTCAATGGTCTTATGGTAGCAATGGCTTGTCAACGGGTCGTGGGTTCCAGATCAGATCCAACACATTTCGAATCAATTGCGTCTGAAATTCGAGATATTAAATGGATGTTTAAAATACCGAAATTCCGTTCGGGTCACGAACCACTGTCACATTTGAATCTTGTAATAGAAATTTAATCGTGTAATGGATGTTTGGATTTCCGATTGTCCAAAGCCGAGCAAACGAGGTCGACGGTGCATCTTCCTTACATGGTATGTGAACAAGCATATCTGTTCTCTATCATGAAAAAAGCAAACAATGAGCACCCTTAAATACTGTCTATAGTTTACGCGAGTATAGCGAAATAAAACACTTTAACGGTTTAAAACGCGATATATTAGTTAAACTTATTTGAAAACGATTTTCCCGTGATCCCGGCTGCTGCAAAGCATCCGAAACGGGTCGAAAGAAAAAATAAATTTCAAATAAGTTTAACTAATATATCGCGTTTTAAACCGTTAAAATGAGCATCCTTTTTGAAGGTGAAATGCCTCCTACCTTATTCAGATGCGCTGTTGACCTATTTTAGCTTTACACTATCAGAAATCCTCAGACTAACACTGAAAAGCAAATTATACTTAACGGCTTATTTGTTGCTTTTACTTCCAGGTCATGCCTGGAGGGAATTTCCTGTCCCAATGTAATGTCTAGATTTTTCAGACCTAGAATATAAATGACTCGTTGTAATTAGCCGCCTGCATGGAGTGCACGATTTTCTGTTCACGTAGTCTATAGACTGAGTCGGCATTAATTTTATTACTAAGTAAACTCTGTTTGTTAGATAAGACTATAAATAATGTCCCAGAAAATTTTGAATATTATTTACTAACGTTCCGGACATGATGGTAATCGTACCTACTACCACTTTATTACCCATACTACCAATTACATCAAGTCGAAAATCATTTATTCATGTGGGTAGCTCAAGAACTGATATGACTTTTCACTGCGACTTTAAAACGTTTTACTTCCTAAATTATTTATTCCTGTGTGCCTCGACCAACCGAAATGGCGAACGTCCAGCTAGTCACTATTTTAGTAAGTCTTTTCTACTTCCTAAGTCTAGTGGTTAGTACATCCATTTGGCTATTAGATCCCAAGTTCAACTTCTGGGTCATGCGAAATGATACTTTGATATTTGGAATGTTAATAAATTGTGTAAGGCTCTCGCGGCCATCGTTCAGCAAATCATATCATCAACGGCGAGAACCTTTTCGCGCTCACGTCGTTACAATGATATATTTGAAATGCTTTTTTATGAAGTTGCTAGCTTGGATTTCGGTGATCTCCGTGACTTGGCTGCCGGTTGTCGCCATTAACGGCTATGCTCTTTAAATTCCACCAACCCGCACTGAAACAGCGTGGTGGGCCTAAGGCTTTAAAGCCCTCTTTTGCGAGGTTCACCACTTTCACATTAATAAGTCTTAATAAAATTTAAGAATCTTACTCTACTTACTGCAGTCTACGCGTCCACTACAAATAAGATTTAATATTATAATCAACCCAGTATGGTTAATTAGATTTCAAAGGATTAGTGTTTTAAAATCGCGTGCGCAGTCTATAGACTTATCCATAAGCTGTATTATTGTAATCACAAATACTAACATTATTATGTCAGTAGTAACTAATAAGGTATTAGAATATTTTTAGATTCTTAGTGAAATCCTGCTTCCTTTACTTAAGGCATGATCATTTTTGTATGTCCGTTGTACAGATCAATTTAATTTACGGACCTAGTTAAATTTGCCATGCCGGACTAAAAAAATTCAATAAATAAAACACTTATAACAGTTTAAAACTTCATAGTTAAAATATATTGGAAATAAGGTGCTATATATGTCACGTTTTAAACCGCTTAGTTAATTTGGTTAGTTTAAATTCATAATAGGATTACAAAGAAAATATTTTCAGCGAAGCTGAAGTCTGAAACGGACACAAAAAAATTCACCGATGGAATTTCTCTTTTATAACGTAAGATCGACGTAACGAGTAAATGCTACATTGTTTTGTTTTATTTAGTTTTCCATCACACTACGTTTAATTAAAAAATAGAATAATTTTATGCGTTGAAAAAATTACGACATTTAATATTCCGTTGCCAATTTTGTATCTGCAGTACACAGAAATTACAGACGCCTACAGACAGAATACTCGCAGACCTCAGTCCAGTTATAACTGCAGTTAACGGCGCACGTGTCTTGTAATGCCGCGGTTTACAAGCGATCGTTTTAAACATATTTAAATTGTCGCATTATTATAGTGTAGTGTTGTTTAAGTTGCTTTAGTTCAGAATTTATTCCTGTTTCGTTGATTCTTAGTGGTTAAGAGTGTGCGAGACTTAAGTTTTGTTTTCTTTTTTAAGTTTATTGGATTTTTTACTGGATATGTGGGAGGTAGCGGCTAGATAAAAGGTACGTTTAGTTATTGTGTTATAACTGTCTATGAGTGTATGTAAATGTTGTCTTTCTTTGAGTTAGGTTTTAAATTCGTTATTAGCAACAGGTGTCTTGGCGACTTGAGATCGCTGTCTTGAGACCCAAATTACAACTTAAATTATAAACCCACCGTATTAAAAGAGTATCGTAGGTGTTGTCGAAATGTATTCTGCAAAGCATACGAGGGGTTGGGACGTACTTAATTGAAAAATGTAAATAACTTATATATAAAATACATCGAATACTAACAACATACAAATCTAATACCTATGTAAATA